TTATTATACTGATTATATTTAATAATTAGCAAAATAAAGAAATATCTCTTACACAAATATGAGCAAAATAACTAGAATCATCGACAAAAAACCAAAGTAGAGTAGTTCCTCCTCAATGGTGTAGCTGCCCAAAAATTTATTTAAAGATAAATCATAACTAATTTTGTTTCCAAAAAAAAAATTTTTTTTAATGATACACTCACTTATATGTAATGGTAAAGAGGAAGGTCAGGAACCATATGTTGAATAGGTTCCATAACACCTTTGAATGCGCCGTAATTCTGGACGTGACTGTTATTACAAACAGTATCACCTGCAATTTAAAAAAAACCGATTTAATTAATCGCAAGAAATATTCCTTTAAAAAAAAAAGTCATCTTGTAAATCTTAATTACAAAAAACATAAAGCCAATAAAAACACGAAACACAATTGTTATATCAATTGTCTCCGGGGCGAGCTTCAAAGTCATTAAATTTTGAATCATTGAAATTGTTTTTTGAGAAATTTTATTTTATTAAATTTATATTTTTTGTATATATTAAAATTAAAGAATTCCAAGATTGGCGTTTTTAAATTATTATGCTAAATGTGCATGTTACACTGGAATTTTATTAATTCCCATTAACTATTCTAAATATTTTAAATAATTTTCTAAAATGGAAATCACAATGTGTGTTATAAGATAGTGAGTGATCAATTAAACATTGGATTGTTATTTATTTATGATAATAAATATTACGAATGAGATAAAATTGATTTATAAATAGATAAGAATTAATTAGAATACTAGACGATTAATGAAGCATATTATAACATCATCATTATTATTATACGTAGTAACTGATATTTTAATTTCCTTATTTGTGAATTATTGAAACATTACAATAATGATTTAATCTTATAATATTACATCAAGTTTAAATACAATCTAAAGATACATTTGATTTATCATCAATGTATAAGAAATGGGACTTGAACGTATTTGATTCAAAATTGAATTATAGAATAAATGCCGGCTGATATTGGACTTGATAAAAATTGCTCGGTTCATAATTCACGATTGTGACCAGTTTTAATTACCAAAATCTTTGCAATGTACTTGGTTATTGTATCACTGTTGACATCAATTTAATTTAATTATAATAAGATTTACTAGAATAGTATGTTACTTTATAAACCTTTCATCAATATCAGCTTTCCGTAATAAGAAAGAATCTTTTGTCTTTACAAACATTTGTCTCTTTTCATATTATTTATAAATTGCATCGTTTCCATCTTATCTCAACGTTAAACGATATTAATAGTTATCCTTTTTCTGATTTATTTCGCGGATCGTCAAGTAAATATAAATATCTAAATATTAATCTATTATATATAGTATATCACATTCAGATTTTTATCCACAATCAAAATAACAATAAATCTATCGTACATCAGCTCTCATTCTGGAATGTCGATACAACCCAAACAAAGCAATAGTAATATTGATGGTTGGAGCCAATGCATTTCTTCACGAGTCCGGGATGATGTTTTCAAAAATAAATTTAACAAATGAAGTTATTAAACCAGAAGATGTTGTTGGTTGGTAGTGTATTTAATGTGAATTCAGTATTGGGTATATTATCACTATCACACCTTGTTGGATTATATATGATATGGTGATATGACAAACAAGTTTCACACCTGAGTCACAACGATTCAATTCTAGTAGCAGAAGTGTCGACAGTCACATTGTTGCATTGATGATGGTAATAAAGAATTAATAGATGCAGCTATTCGACCAATAATGGCTGGTGATTCAACGTTGATTCAACGTTGAATCACCGGGATCAAACAAGACAGTAAATTCATAAACAAAAACACAACCCATTTATATATATAGTTGGTAAATGAAGCAGCTAAATATCGATATCGTTCAGGTAGTCAATTCGATGTTGGTGGTTTAACAGTTAGAACGCCTTGTTCGGCTGTTGGTCACGGTGGTCATTATCATTCTCAAAGTCCAGAAGCTTATTTTGCTCATACACCTGGTTTAAAAGTAATTACAATCATATTTTTTATATTATAGATGGTTTTTAAATATATTTATTCATATATTTATTTAATTTAAAAGATTGTAATTCCTAGAAGTCCCATACAAGCTAAAGGACTTTTATTGTCTTCTATAAGAGATAGAAATCCTGTACTATTTTTCGAGCCAAAGATATTATATCGTGCTGCTGGTCAGTTTACTATCAATCAATCAATAAACATTATTATTGTTATTATTATTATTATTCATAAATACATTATATATAATTAGTTGAACAAGTACCAGTAGGAGATTATGAATTACCAATAGGAAAAGCGGAAATTCTCAAAAAAGGAAAAGATGTTACAGTGGTTGGTTATGGATCACAAATTTATATTCTTGAGAATGCAATAGAACGAATAGAGAAAGAGATTCCTGGTCTGTCATGCGAGTTGATAGATCTGAGATCAATCTTGCCTTGGGATAGTGAGACTGTTGAAAACTCGGTAAATAAAACTGGTAGATTAGTAATTGCTCACGAGGCACCTCAAACATCTGGTTTTGCTGCTGAAGTTATTGCCACTATTATGGAAAGATGTTTCTTAAGACTTGAGGCACCTATTCAACGAGTCTGTGGTTGGGAGTAAGTAACATTGATTTTAAAAAGTTAATCAAATTAATTTGTTGATGGTTTTTTAATTATTTTTAAATGTTTTTTAGCATACCTTTCCCGCTTGTCTATGAAAAATTTTATTTGCCAGATGCTACAAGATGTTATGATTCCATTAAGGAAGTATTTAATTATTAGTATATTTGTTCGTCATGGTACTACTATAGAAAAATATATTTATATTGTTTTCTTTTTCCTTGTAACAATTTTTATTCTTATAATTAATTTTTAAATGATTAATTATTTATTATGTAATTATAATTACAATATAAACTACATCTACATCAGCTTTAGCACTAGCTGTGACCACATCTACATTGGTGATATGTATTTTATATTTCCTTTTTGATCA